TTTCTAAACCATCTTCGGAAACTTTCCAAGGCCCGACAGCACCTTAACTTAGCCGGTCAGGGACAGATCTCTGACCTTGGGACAGCAAGGAGCCAGGGCAAGGTCATCATGGGGCCAGTGGCACGCACGTCCTTCCCCTGCCCGGTGCAGTAGGTGGGCAGATGGCCCCACACAGAATCCTGTCACCCCGGGGAGGGGCTCTAGTGTCTCCATGTTATGTTTGAGAAGACTGAGGCTCTGGGGGAGGTTGTGCGCCACAGACAGGATTTGGACCCGTCGAACCCTGAGACTGCTGTCCAGTTCTTGCTGATATTCGCTGTGCTCTGTTGTCAGCCGAGGCTGTGGTTTCTTTTTTTTTATTTTTTAAAGATTCATTTATTTATGCATACAGAACTGGGGTACAGGCCAGAGGTGCTGGGGGTTAGAGGATTCACCAGAGACAGAGTGGGGAGCAGAACAGGCTGACTGACAAAGTACACTGCTGAGGGAGCAGCGGGTGGGTCAGGAGAGGTCTGCCGCGCCATGTGGGTCAGCTTCGGGGCGGGGATCAAACTCACTGAAGCAGCTCAGCTAGCTGCAGTGCTGTGTCCTAACCCGTTGCGCCACCAGGGAGCGCCCCGTGCTCAGCATTGTTATGACTGTGACCAAAGTGATCCAGCAAAATTCCATGTGGGACACAGGTCTGAGCGACTCCGGGGTATCCGTCGTGGTGCTGGGGGCAGCCACCGCGGGCAGAGGGTGACAAAGCCTCCCCAGAAAGCAGGAAAGTGGTGTCCCTATAACAGAGATGCCCCAAATAGTGTGTCTTAACAAAATCTACGCAGATCCTGTCTCACCAATCTGAGGGAAGTGCCGAGGGGAGGGCTGGGGGGGGCAGCTCTGTGCTGCCGCCAGCACCCAGGCTCTTTCCTCCTTGTCACCCGCCTCGAGCAGAACCCCCTCCCTCCCCGCGGCAGCCCCAGGGCCCAGGGTGGCCTCTCCTTTAACATGGCTTGTAACACGGTGTCACCTCCCGGCGTCTGAGCTCCTAACAGTACTTTCCGGCATATACGATCCGTTCTGTTTTCTGCAGCGTCTTCAGACTCAGTTTCCAGCATGTTCTAAGTGCTTTTCACCTACCCTGCTATAATATTGCCTTTCAGACTTTCACCACGGCCATATGGCCGGTTATGTTATCTTCGACACTAGACTAACTGCCAACTCCAGCCTAACGGCAGTGTTTTCATCACAGGGCATCGCCCTGGCGAGCTTCTGGCACCTTCCACCACATTTTCATATTCTCCTCCTTACCCACTCTGCAAAATAGTGTCTTATAGATTGTTATGTTGCTGTATGTTGATGCTGATATGGCCATATATTTGATATGGATGATAGCTGTGTATCAGTGGTGACTATGTTGAGAAGTACACTTTTAGTCCTTTGAATTTTTTTTTTAAAGATTTATTTATTTATTCACATGGAACTGGGGTACAGGCCAGAGATGCGGAGGGTGAGAGGA